ATACGTCAAGCGTAACTGCACTAAAATTCAACCTCGACCTGTGCCCTCTATCTCAAAGAACTCAACTTGCTCGTCTTGTCCTTTTTCACAAAACTTACTATTCCTCTTCTGATTTTCGAAACACCAACTGTCACCCACCACCTCACATCTCCTTGCGCCACGACCACAGCCTAAAAATTGAAGCTCTATTCGCCAGAACTAATAAATTCCAAAATTCCCCACTTTCTCTCGCTATTACTAACTGGAATTCCCTTCCTGAAACCATAGTACGTGAATCTAACCTTAAGACATTCTTTGAACTCTGCAAGAAACACCTGAAAATTGTTGATCTTTAGCATGCTTATCTGTTAATTACTTTTTCTACATGTTATGTTTTGATATCTGTCCCATTAGTTTGTAATTATTTTGCATTCTCCTAATAGTTACCTTGTTACCCTCCTGCTATCTGTATATGTCATCTGATCTCCGCTTATGTAATGCATTACATCTTAAATGGCTTTGAGGTATAATAATCTGAACTGAACTAAACGATACATTCGAGACATTAGTACAATGCGACGCCGGAATTGAATAAAAGAGCCGCGTAACTATTCATGTTTTACACGGGTAGAGTCGATCTGTTAGCGGAACATTATCGGCACTCTGTCAGTGTGAAACACTGACAGAGTATTCGGAACTTTCGCAAATATCTCTCATGCTCTGGTCTGATTGTAAGTTAGCATTGTTGAGTGCGCTTCTCCCCGCCAACTTCTGTACTGCAGTGAAGCGGCAACCTCGAAATAAGCATCGCAGTTTTGCTTATCTTGTTTCGCTGCAGAGTATTGAAGCGGGACGTTAAACACGCAAACGTCGGGTATATATATACAGTATATATATAAAAGATATGTAGCAACTCTTAGTTGCGGCACACATTTCTGAAGTAAACTACGGCTATTATTTATGATAGACCGCGGTATTCTTGGGATATTTTTTCCAAATTCGGGATTTAACGAAGGTACTCGCAAGAAATTTCACATGAAATGCTCTATAGGTTTATTTTTATTCAAACTTGGCTGTTTATTTGTCACCTTTAAATATGTTTTATCCGTTGGAGGTACACTCGGTAAAATAAAAATAAAAATAAATATGTGAAGCAGTAGAAGGAAGCTTGAAAATACCTTAACGACTTTGTCTGGGTTGTTTTACGAAGACATACTTTTCTTCCACATACCGATCTCGGTTATATTGAAGTTCTTTATACAAAATGTCAATGATTTTTATAATTTCATAACATTTACTTTTTAAATCTGAATTAAGAATTGTTTTTTTATCACAACCTTCAGAACTTGAATGATACATCAATTTGCGTGCTCAAGATTATTCTAACATTATTTCATTGAAATATATTATTTGGTTTACATTTTATTTCGTACCAAAAATAACGATTTACAGCGGTTCATACTCTCTTTCATCAATCGGCATCTTGTTCCCATGCCTGGTGCTTCTATGTGCAGCTAAACAGCCAGTTATGTGTATGAGGAAATCAAAGCTGCTGATTCACAAAAGCGTGCACATTTTTTTTTTTTTTACTGTGAGAGGCCACCATACGAATCTTAACATATAATAATTCACAGTGGTACGAATAAAAATGAAGTGTGAGCTTGTGCCCCAAAAGTACTTTTTGCTGCTCCATAACGGATTTTAGCTACTCCATATGGTGCTGCAAAATGACTCGCGTGAATCGCATCACTGTACATGGTATTTGTCATCGAAGAAGCTACGCGCCTCTTGGCAAAACTTTGGACGCGGTTATTAGGCTGCCGCTCGTCGATGGGCTCTTCGGGTCAATACACTAACACAAAGAAGTCCGTGTTTCTTTCTGTAGCCAGTGCGCGTGAGTGAGATGTGGCCAGTGCGCGTGAGTAGAAACCAGATTCGCTCGAAGCGTCTGCGCATGCGCAGCGCCGACAGCAGCGCCACCGCATTGGTGTGACTTCAGAGAACTCACTTGGTGTCGTTCGTTCTCTTTTTTCACCCAGGCTTTGATCAGACAGGCATCGCAGTTCCTCCTGGTGGCCACACTGGGAAACTTCTACTTCAAAGACGTGGAAATCTCGATACCCAAGATGTGGCCGAGCACGGACGTGTCCGACAAGGTCTGGGAGGATCAGTACGACAGAGCGCAGGTCCAGGTGACCGACGCGGTTACGAAGCCGGCCACCTTGGACCCTACCCGGACCACCGACAAGGACCCGAACCCTGTGCAACTGCCGCCTGATTTCCTCATTGATCTAAACGGAACGACGACCGCAACGTATAAGAAACCAGGTTTGCGATACGGCACGCTGTTTCTGACGCTCCGAACTCAAGGAGACCGTAAACATTTCGCGCTGTAGGCTTTTCCTTGCTGCTACTTTTCTCGAAGAATGACACAAAGCACTGGTTCGGCAGCACGTTGTTTTTTATTGACTGTTATCGCCAATCGCCGCGACCCAAAAGACCTTGTGCGTACGCTGCGTCGGCCTTTTATCGGCAGTGAAACGCCCCTCACGTGACCGATTGCACCTGGCCACCTCGCGGTGGATATGACCAGAGACGATTCAACACGTGGGCAACCTGGTTCAACCCTTCGGATCACCAGGTTGCCCACAGTGCGTTACAGGACTTCGAAGATAACGGTTCCTAACAAGTTTGTAATCTACAAATGATGTTTTATCTTTGCTCTCTTCCAGAATACTATTTTGTACATCACTGGGCCAATCATCGATACGGCGTTATGCCTGAATACGCGACCTCGCCTGGATCACAATTCTACTGTTTCGGAGGAGCGGTAAGCTAAAAACCGGAAAGGAAACCGCCAACAGACAACAGACAAGTCGAAGGAAATGAGCAGGTCATGCGCTGGCTTGCAGCTGAGCGAGTGACGAATACCTACACAGAAACTGCGAGGACAAAGACCGGATTATTTCTCATAAAGCTCAAGCGTCCGAAAAACCTCAGGATCATTAGTTCATAGCTTCGCACTACTCTAGAGTAAAAGCACAGATGCCGGCACACGTGTCCTCTTGGCGTTTTTTTTCTTGACCTTTCTTAGAGCGTTGGCGTTAACACTTTGCAATTAATGACCCTTTCCGGTAATGTGTTACTTCAGTAACATAATTCAGTAACATTGAAAACAACAAACAGCTCGTGTGACAACAATTTATTTGTCGTTTCTTAGCACCAGTTGGCATATAATAAGCAGCGAGACAATTACAAACCTAAACAAATCTATCTAAAATATCACACTGATGTGTCAAAACTGTCACATTGCTGGGTTTATTTTGCTGATGGCTGAAAATAATCACACTCTCAAGAAAAAAGGGTGTAGAAGGGTGTATCGTTACACCCTTTGTCCCATATAATACACCCCAAAACTTCATTTCGACGTACTGAGCCCTATAGTCGAACAGACATCCCCAAAGTTTACAGGGGGCTTGATAACGGTGTCATATAACTTTTTAAATAGTTGAAGTACGTATCAAAGACCACATAAAGAAAACAGCGAGTTTTTACAGTAAGACCAAGAAACCCCGATTATTTTTTTGGTAGTCAGGGAAACGTACATTACCTATTTTAATAAGTTCTACCACAGGCTATCGAGCCCCTCGTAAAAGTTTTGGCCGTCTGTTCTACTGTAGGGCGCTGTACGTCGAATTGAAGTTTTGGGGGGTATTATATGGGACAAAGGGTGTAAAGGATACACCCTTTTACACCCTTTTTTCTTGAGAGTGCACCCTTGACAGAAGCGGCCTCACCTGGTTCTTGATCATTTCTCTGTTCCCTTTCCCTGTCATGTGGTAAATCCTGACCTTCAGATACTCTCCAGCCAGCTTCTTACACAAGCTGTAAATATGGTTGTCTAGAGGATCGCAGGCCTCGAGACCCCAGTTCGAAGAACCACTTCTTCTCTGGAAACGCACTCAACACTTCCAAGATCAGCTGCTTGGTCCTATCCTGCACCGCTTTGACGGTTTCCCACTTGGCCTGCAACCGCCGCAGCCCTTTCTCGATAGCTTCGCACAGCCCGACGACGTTTTGTGATGGAGAAACGAGTCCACGCCTTTTTTTTTTTTTTTTGCCTAATGAGAGGTGCCAGCTTTTGTGAATGCAGAGCTGCGATACACTCTTGGCACGTTGTAGTTGAACAAACATTGCGGACAACAAAGTCCGCATTGTTTGGCACCACAGAACTGACAAAAAGGGGAGAGGCTTTCAGGAGAGTAAATGTGGTGCGTGTAATCGTGGTCTTCTTGCTGCATGATTGGTGCCCTTCCTGTGTCGCTAAGAGTACTGGTTGAATCTTCTTCAGGCACAATATTAGATCCAGTCAGGACTGATGATGTCCTCAAAGTGCCACGCTGTTGCCGGCCGCGATCCTGACGTTGTCACAACAGCAGTGCTGCACGTGTGACAGACGCCTGTTCCTGCTACAGCAATTTCTCGAACTGGAAAGTCAACGTACGCCCTGGCCAGCCAGGGGCTGGGACGCCGCGACGACAGTGACACTCGCGTTCGCTCGTACCTTTTGCCGGAACTTGTTGCACCAACCGCAAGGATCGCGACTTCCGACAGAAAACGAATGTTGGAAACAACCACCCGCAGATTAGAACATTGGTGAACGTGGGTGAAGAATAGGGGCCATGCAAACCTATAGCCTCTTATATACTGGCAAAGCCTGGCAGATCGCCATGAGAAGCGGCCGCCGAAATGGAAAAGGCGGAGCGGCAGACAACGGATGAGAGGAGAGCCGTGTGACTGGCGCCCCGCTGCGGCGAGGCGCCGAAACACACTACTCCCGAGCGAACAAGTGTGTTTCGGGTCCTCGCTGCTGCAAAAGCTGAGCGCTAACGTCCCGGTTTTTCGAGAAATGGCTCTTTGATGCTCCATACTACCAGACCCTCGCGCTCCAAATCTGCGACCGGGCACTCTATGGCTCCGTCGTCGAACTGCCAGGATTTGTGAGTATAGAGGAGGCTACGATGGTGGAAACTACCACGAGGAGATTAGAAGTTAGAACATTGGTGGACGTGGGTGATGAGTAGGGGTCGTGCAAACCCAGTGTTGTAGGCATTACCTGAAAAAAGTAAGGAAATATGTTACTCGTTACTTGCAAAAAGAAGGAACGCGTTACCGACCCACGTTACATCAAAATAGAAGGAACGCATTACCATTAGCGATAAAAAGTAACGCACTTTATTTTTGCGTTACTTTTTTCATTTTTAGAATAACACCTTTTACGGTTTTGATGGCGCAAGTACGCATAAGCGCCGTATTTCAAGAAACATTTTGTACATGCACAAACTAAACATAATTACTTTTTTTTGTTGCGGTCTTCACCTTCATACGTGCAAGAAAAAAAAACGCAAAAAACACCACAGAAAACTCAAATGTTCACATGCCTTGGCAACTAAAAACACACAAAAAAAAATGGAAGTGAAATTTTTTAAGTCTTGGAAAGAAGGTGTAACGATCAACGTAACTACGTTACCCGTTACTTGAAATAAGTAACGTAAGTACGCTACCCGTTACTGCGTTGAAAGTGTAACGAGTACTTTACGTTAACCAAAAAGTAACTTGTTACCGGTAACGCCGCTACCTGTAAAGCGTTACCGCCAACACTGCGCAAACCACAAAGGCTACAGGTCCCAAACATTAAACATGTCAAAGGAAACAGCCAAAAATCACCATCATTATCATTAACTTCACAACGATCCAGCTCCTGTAACGCCATTTGTTGCTGCTCCGGGACCACTTTGTATGTACGGCCAGAATGAGACGTTAAACGCACCAGTTAAAGACTCGTTCCGGGCACAGTATCTATCTGTCTACTGGCGTTATAAGCCCATGAAAACGGCAAAGACAAAAAGCCCTTCAATGCGGATTCACGCTTTAATTTGGCTCGTTTTTTGCAGATGAACGTCACACGATGCAGCGAAATGATAACTGCCGGAGTGAAGGACTCGGTCAGGGGGAGGTGTCCATCGTTGAACACTTGCGGTCCTTCTCCGACGACCTGCGACGTGACCTTCTACCAAGATCCCCTCGTCCCAGCCACCGAATCCATCATGTTTTTGCCGTACCTCGACGGGGTACGCGGGTCCTTTGTCGCCGCTCTCTGTCCTCTGAGCTGCTTCCGTCGGGCTGTCGGAGATTCGCCTTTCTGGGGCCCTAGTCTGCACGGCGGGACAAAGCGGGACGGCAAGACAGGGAGATCGGCGCCTGCTTTGATTGGTCAGCGGTGTGGAGCTGGCCAATCACAACAGCCGCCAATGTTCGGTCCCTCGGTCCCGCCGTGTAGACTAGGACCCCTGTTTTCCGGTTGTCGCACTAAAGGCGAGTTCACACTTGGAAGCCGCAAGGGTCGCGCGACAGCTTTTTGTCACAAAATCGACAGTCGCTGTCACCAAAGTAACCGGTTCGGGGCAGTCGCTTCCAGACCAATTTCGCAAACCGCTCGGAAAGTCGCCGCGCGGCTGAGTCACTCAACCACACCCCGGAAGTGACGTGTGGCGCCCCGCGTTTGTTTACGTAAGGCATTCCGGCTGTAAATACATGTCCGCCTTGGAGCCTGGGTTCGCCATAACGCGGTGGCTATGACCAGTACCACTAAAGGATACCTATTTATTTTTAACGAGGAGCAACAGTTTAAACGAGCGCTCGAAAAAAAAAGTAAAAAAAGAAAAAAAGATGTCTTGTTAGGGCTCGCTGCTGACATAATTTTTTCATATTCAATATACATATATATTATTTTCATTCCACAGGTGAAGTTTTTCTGTAACCAGGACACCCACAACCCTGATGCAGAGAACATCCAAAACCGTCGTCACAATCATAAATCCACATGGGATGTGATCAAGCAGCATTCAGATTTCATTGGGTAAGCGAGCCTCTTGTTTTCATGTTTTGGTTTGCATTGATATACAGCGTGTATTTTAAATATATAACTCAATTTTTAAAAAAAGAACAACAACAACATCGACAACGACAACGACAGCAACAACAACAACGTGAAAGCTACACTAATGCGGCTTGTGGATGGGACTTTACGGTGAGGGGACATAATATAGGATGCTAGTCGTCACGATAAGTGGTTGATTGAATAAAGTACGGTAATTGTTATTTCTAATTAGTGGAGACAAACATAATTACAATTAAAAACGTGCTGAGCGTAATCGATAACCCCTTAGTCAATGCATTTTAGAAGTACTTGGAGGCACGTAGCAGGCGAGGTGGGCTGCTAAAGTTACCCCTTGTCCAATCCTTTCGATAATTGAAGAAGCACACCGTTAGTATTGCGCCTGGTCCAGGCGTAAGGCTAGGGGTGCGATGAGGTGCCCGCAAGGTGTTTCCGTTTCTTATCACGCGAGTTTTTGCACCAGCAGTCTCGGGCCTTTTGCGCAAGGGGTTCCTTTAACGCACTACGGCTAATTCCCATGCACTCATAATTTTTAAAAACATTCTTATCTAGTGTTTTCGGTGGAGCTTAGCAAGCTCCTCATTGGGACCATACTTCTATCTTCACTAACTAAAACGTTAATTAAAGAAATGTTAGTTCATTATTAACGCTATCGTGACTATTTGCACCCTATTGTGTGAACCTGGCCGTATAACTTGACTACTTAGACTTTATTAGTGTAGCTTTCACGGATAAAAGAAAACAAACAAACAAATTCGTAGAGCTTAAAATAAACTGATGCCAATGTTTTGAACGACCATTTTTCATAGTACGTGCACTTCATCCCGTAAATACCACAAAACTTTCGCTGTTCTGAAATCCAGGGCTACCTCATAGAAGGCGTCAGCGTGCCTGTGTGTTCTCTCGACGTAAGCGTCAAAACTCAGTCGTAGGCAAAACCATGTGTGTGAACGGGCTTTAACTTGCCAGGCAGCCGAAGTCACTGCGTCCATAACCACAAAGTCAAATTGTGGAGTTTTACGCAAGGAGGTTAGAAGTACTAGGAGAGGGCACGTTGCAATATTGGTGAAGCCTATAGTCATAAAAAGTGTAAACGATATTGTGCCCAGCGTGAGCGGAGATCTCTCTGGCAATTGATGCGCGTGACATGTCATGTGGGAGATGGATGGTTAATTGTAGGAGGATTCCTTGCAGGCTTGCGCGCGCTCCGTCCTGTAGGTTTTATCAGATCGAAGGCTAGACGAAGCCTAGCTACGGTCACGTGATGTGGTCATGTTCGGCTGATAAGTGAGGAGAGTAAGGAGAAAAATGAGAAGGAGGCGAGGCGCCAAGGGAGCGTGGCTTGTAAAGGCTACGCGGCCGACGTCATGCCCTCTCCTGGTTTACGTGCCGAACCAACAAAGAGTATCTAGAAGGCCTCTGCGGAGAATTGACGATTCGCTTCAACCGCTTGGGGTTCTTTCGACATGCAACCGCAATCTCGGTTACACGTCGCCAGCTCCGCGCTAGGCGGGCCTCGATAACCAGTAAGAGCGTTGGAGCGAACCATGTGGCATTACTTCGTGGTAGTCTTGTTTTCCCGCTTTTTATTGTCACGTACCTATCTTCGGCGCTCTTACTGGCACTTTGGTTTCTGGGTTTCTCGGCTTGCCGGTACGGAGTGGATCGCGTGGTGCTTTTACGGACGTAAATCGACCACTCTGATTTATTCTCTCTTGCGCTTTTTCAGGTTGGCCAAACTCACGGTCAACAGAACGGTGCACACCAGTTTTCGAGTGGTTCAAAAGGCCGACAAATTGGGAAAACGCCTGGTACTTGCAATGGACATGTCACGTAGTATGTCGGTAAGAGCGAGAGAAAAGTACTTCAGGGCAGATGCCGTTAGTGATCGTAAGTAACACAGCAAGGTGACTGGTGCGCGATTGAAAAAATTTTGTTCATACTTGTCCAGGTCGCTTGCACCTTGCATTTAATTGCATTATAATCATAACCTTAAAATGCAAGCCTTTCACCTTTGTTGGTGTAAGACTGCTGGCAGCTGATAAAACCTGTTTGCTCTACTGACGTCTAACCGCTGGTTACCTCAGTTGGTAGAGCACTCTCCTGAAAATGGAGAGGTCCCGGGTTCGATACCCGGACCAGGCGAATCCTTTCGATTGCGCACTAGTCACCTAGCTGTGTCTGGAGATTTGTGTTTGTCCTTTGTCTCTCTTGTTCTCCTTCTCCTGGGATTACTTTCGTTGATTCTTCTTACGCCCGCTTGCAACTTGTATTCAATTGCATTATACCCTTAAGCACAGCTCGTGCACAAAACTCTCACGTCAAAACATCACAACAGTCCATTGCCTCTCACTCGCGCTGCGTCATTGTTTCGTTAGCACTCGAGTAAAATCAACTAGCCAGCGAATATTAGGGTTGGCATTCGGGTCCACGTAAGTAGGGTGACAGAAATCGCACCACAAGTTTCACGAAGACCTTATATAGCGCGGTTCACGCGATATCCTGTTCTCATCGAGAACTGAGGGAGAGGAAAAATGAAGAGAGTCTGTATTTGCGGAGAAACACTTAAATCGTCTTCATTTGGCCTCCAGAATCACCAATATCGATATTATATTCCAGTTTGATGCACGGAGGCTGCAGAAAATGATTTTCAAAGTACCGCTAAAGCCCCTCCGTCCCGGAGCCTGTTGTCGTGTTAGGAATTCTCACAATCTCCGCTTTTTCTTATCTTCGGCACCTATCAAAGTTACGCACGAGCACACTTGCTATTTTCAGAAAGGCCAGAAAAAGACGTCCGACTTTTGTCAATAGGGGGGAACATACCTACGCGCCTGGCGGCCGAAAGATCTCTTTATGACCACGACTGGTCGGAGCTCTTTAGTGCTTGGTCGCGTTTAGTTATTGAGTTTGGGGTTCGGGCACTTCATACGAGCATCCTGACTCAAGTGCAGCAGAAGTATAATGTATCGAACGTATGTCGCTGAGATATGTTTCTTCGCCGCCGTGCGATTTCGGAAATAAAAAAAATCGTTTGGAATGTGTACTACCCGGTGCCCACTGCTAGCGCTCTCTGAAAAAAAAAAGAAACAAAAATACCCTATAACAAGATACCCTTGTAGCCCTGTCAATGCCAAGAGTTCGTGCAAGGAGACGCCCTTTCGCGTGCACCTGAAGAAAAAAGAAACAAAAAAGTCCGAGGGCACCTAAGCACTTCTTATGAGTTGTGAATGCGAAAGCATTAATGTCGTCCTTCCGCTCCCTTAGTTCCTCCTCGGCGTAGTAGCGTAAACGCCACGTTTCCCTGACGGACGGCCGCGCGCGCTCTCGTGAAGGGGTTTTGCAGCGCCGAGCTCGGCCGTGCACCCTCCCTGGCGTTTGCCCGAGCGCGATCTGTCGCCAGGCTCGCACCGCCTCACCGCTCTTAACGGCGGCAGCGCCGCTGCGTGCACTGCGCTGACATGAAGAGGGCTTCTCTGGTGGCTATTTTTAGAACTACGCCGCTCAAGAGCCAATGGGAACCTCGTTCCTTGACGACGCGGGCCAGCCAGTGGGTGCATAATCTATCCGAAATCGGCTTCATTTCGCTCCACTAGAAAGGGGGATTTTAGGCTCCGTTTGGCCAACGTTTGACATGGTTTTAAAGCTGATGTCTTCGGTTCGCTCCATGGGAAAGTTATCGCTTTCGCATTGAAACGGACTATTGCTTCACCTATGTTTCCACAAGCGCCCTTAATATGAAGCACTAATTCCCCAGTGACTTGTACGTAAGTTTTTGTGACGTAACGTAACGTTGAAAATATGGGGTTGTGCGAACGAGCCGTTACCGCCAACATTACTCTAGTTACAGGGATATTGCAAGGAAATTCTAGTGCATATATTTCATTGTTTAAGTGTCAGTCACGTTGTCGCCACACCACGGAGACACCAATTTTTTTTTTTTTGCTTGAAAGGACATTAAAATAATATTTAAAAGGAATAAACTGAATGTCGTTACGTCACTCTGAACTTAAAAGCAGCGCCGCTCCGCGGAAATATGGTTGCAAGCTGCGCGCGCACGAGCCCCGTCGAACTTCGTTGAACCGGAGTTCCCTTCTCTTCCGGCCTATTCAGCTCTTGCGGGGAGCGGCGAGATGTTACTAAAATGAACAGGTTTGAACACTGGGTTGTAGCGCGTTGACGACGCCAGGTGGCAGAGATCATTATCACGCCAGACCCCAAGGAGCTCTGCCCGTGCTGGGCTACTTGACGTCCCGTCTACCGTGATGCATCGCTCCCCAATTGCTGATCTTCGAGCGCTCGCTAGGGTTGGTCCTTTCAAACAAAAGATATAACCACCCGTTCAAAATATAACTGTGCAATTGTCATTAGGAGATATAGTGTAAACTTAGTGCTTAACTTAGTTGAGAACGGGAGGTATATCTTAAGTTTCTATTCAGTATCTCTTTAAAGGGGCCCTGCAATCATATTTAAGCGTCTACCTTTTCTTGAGGTTGCCACGTCCCTCGGGGTTCGGGCAAGCCAGCGGGCACGGAGAGACTTACTAAATATCTGTGCGTCATATTTTAACCGGACGACGCGGAAACCTCCTCCACCTACGGGGGCGACCCGCGGTGCCGAAAGCGCGCGATATGTGACGTCTTACGTTCTGGGCTTACTCCTGGTCAGAGCTGTTGAAAGCTTATTTTTTGTCGAAATAAAAAATATAAGTAGCGCGAACCGTTTCAATTATTTGTAAAAGTAGTTTTTGTTCACTTTTTTAGATCAGAAAAGAAACAAATGCAGTTTATAAGGTACGGAAACAAGGAATGACCCGTCGACATACCCGCCACCAAGCGGTGGAAAAGGCGGCGCATACTAGAAAGGTGTAGTGGGATCAGGCGCCAACGAGCGGCGAGCGTAGAAAAGTCCCGGATGTACGCCGCGGCGTTGCGGTCGTACGGACTGGAGGATCCGACCGGTTCCGAGCGTTCCCATGGCCTTCGGCGAGCAGCTTTGGCTTGCAGTTTGGCCTTTTGATGGTATGGCAGCGAGAAGTGGCTCCCGTTCTGAACTGATCTTTACCCCGTGTTTGCTGTCGTTTGTGGCCAATGAAGTGTCATGCCGATTTAGTGTCTAATAGCGCGGCAAATGCAATGCGAGCCGCCCTGGCTGCTCGCTTTATACAGCCTATGCAGAACATGCTTTAGTGGCGCCCTCTCGAGCCGTCGACACGGAGTGCGGCAGGCGTGACCGCTCGCTGCGCTCACTACCCCTCGTCTTGTTCACGGCCACTCAAGCAACCAAGAACATCATGAACTTTATTTTTTTGCTTGTTTTTGTAATTTTAATTTGCTTGTAACTTCTAAAATAAAGCGAAATTCGAGAAAAGAAAGGTTTCATTAAGTTACTACGTTCAGTGCGCTCAGGTTCGGTGCAAACTGAAAACCAGTAGCAAGGACTTTGGTGCTACCCGGGCACCAAAGTCCTTGCAGGGCCCCTTTAAGTCTGGCTAGGGAATTACCGCCTTGCGTTCGCAAAGCTTGCCGACGTAGTCGTTGGACTCGTCAATGTGACGCAGTGTCCTCTGTTGTTCAACAGTGTTTCAACAGAAGTACCTTTCTGAAGCTCTCGGTGGGCCACCTCATCCGACACAGCATCTCCGTCGGACAGCACGTAGGCATCGTTACATTCGCCGGAAGGGGCATGCTCTTCCATTCCCTGGTACAAGTAAATGGCAGCGACACACGGGAGCGGCTTGCGACCATCGTCGCTACTATGTTACTATTGGGCGGAACGTGCATTGGATGCGGACTTCGAGACGGTATTAGGGTAAGAGTCAACGGCTGCCCAATATTCATCCAGGTACTGACGAGACTATTTCGCAAAGTATGGATGACACATTGAGTTATGGAGCACGCATCGCTAGCACTGCCTTCAGTATTGAACTTACCAGCATAGAGGCTGGTTCACCACATAAAGGCTAAACACAGCGAGTTGACTGTTGTGCGACCGAGCACCAGTCATCTAACTATGTTTGGAGGTTTGTGCTCGTTCTCCCCGCAGGGGGCACTTGTGAAAGCAGGTGTTTGAAGAGTGGCGTCTCCACGGACCCCGAGCCCCGCAGGGGGCGCCTGCATCATAGGTGCTAGGTGCTTGGTGAGTAGCGTCACCGTGGACCCCAGCCACGTGGGCCACCATACCCGCACGCAGGGGGAAACTACTTTAGTAGGTGCTTGGTGAGTGGCGTCACTACGAACCCCAAGCCATGTAGGTTCACCCACCCACGTCTGGCTGTGCGTGGCGTACCCGCGTGTCCGGGGAAAAGGGGACCCCGGTGGTTGAGCTGAGCCCGGGGTATGTTTGGACCCTTCGGGGCCCCCCGGGCAAGGCAATACACCGCTTCGACCCCAGCTTCACGTAGACGGGTGTCCTGGCTTGGCCCGACCAGGGTGATTCAGTCAGTCGCCTCTTCTACCCTCTTGTTCCTTCTTTCACTTTTCCTCCCACCTCTTTCTCTTTTCTTTTACACTCTCTTCCTTCCTTTTTCACCTTCTTAGGCGGCAAGGGCCAACATTAAGTGGAAACAGGTCCTTTCCCTGCAACCACCCAAGGGTATAGTGCCCGGGCAGCACTGGTAGAGTAATTTTGTCAGCCAAGCCCATCTTGCTATGGCGCGTTACCTACCCCCTTGTTGGGCTCCGTGGTGGGCGGTGCACCCGGGCACTGAAATTCCCTCCCATCTCATATGGGTCAGCGCAACAAAACCTTTCGTGATCGGCCTCTGGAAGGGGCCGCACCGAAGCTCAAGTCACTCCCGAAACATCCATAGTACTCTAAAAATTTCCAAAATTCCTTGTCTTGCACTTTGAAGAAGAAAAACCACTTGTTAAACTGTCCCCTTTCCTGGTCGCCATGGTACTAGAAGGAATCGTTGGGAAGGATTACTCTGCAAAAAATATGCCGTCCGGTGACTTTCTGGTTGAAATCAACACCAAAAAGCAGTGATCAATGCTCTTCTTTCTCTCAATGCTGCCTCTGGATACAAAGTAAATGTTACTCCACACCGAAGGCCTAATACAGTTTAAGGAGTTATCTCAGAGGATGACCTAATGGACTCATCTGACGAGGAACTTGTCGAAGGCCTTTCAGACCAAGGAGTGAGTAGTAGCTGCTCGACGGATCACCCTTCGTCGTGAGTGTGTGGATCGAGTGAAAAACAAGACATGTTATTCTTACCTTCGACACCACCACACTTCCAGAGACCATAAAGGCAGGTTACCTCCAGTGCCGTGTTCGCCCCTATGTGCCGAACCCTCAGCGGTGCTTTAAGTGCCAAAGTTTCGGCCATGCGTCACGGAGCTGCCGGGGAAGTGACACTTGCGCGAAATGCTCCAGTAAAGAGCTGTTGCCGACACTTGCGAAAGTGAACCGAGATGTGTGAACTGTGATGGTCGCCATCCAGCATACTCGCGCTCTTGTCCGAAGTGGAAATAAGAGAAAGATATTGACTCTGAAGACCACAGAAAACATCTCGTACCATGAGGCAAAAAAACGTCTTTCCTTCCTGTCGAAAGGAGGATATGCCGAGGTCGTGCGCAGGGGACCCGCACGGCCCGTGATGGCATCGGTGGGAACCCAGACTCCTACAAAAGGAGTGTGTCTCCCGTCAGTGTCCCCTCTAAAACCCACGGGAGCGGTGCCAGCTACACTGCGCCCCAACCTGGACGCTGTTCCTTCAACGTCCACCCTAAAGCGGCGGATGGCACCACCCGCCCCCCCTGCCTCCCAAAGGCCGGAGACACCCCCGTGTCTTGACCCAGAAGAGACCTAGTGAGCCGTTAAGGCTGCCGACTCCAGCGGGTCTCCCCACGGCTCCCACTGAGGAGCCTATGGACAAGGGTGGACCCAAGCCCGGTGAGGAAAGTCTCGCGGGATCTGACTCCTCCCTTTCTGCCACCAGTGACTCCACTGGCCAGCAAAAAGAGGCTGTAAAAAAGAAAAATGCACCGCGCAAAAAGATAGATTTTAACCCATAGTCATTTCATTCAAATTTCTACCGGTTTTTATATTCACTTCGCACTGGCTAAGCATATAGGTATTATGCAGTGGAACTGTCGCGGCTTTCTACGTAACAAAGATGACATCAATTCATTTTTGGATGACCTCTGCCCTGTTGCTATTTGCCTACAGGAGACTTACCTGACTGACTCGCACACGCAGGTTTTGCGTCATCACCAAGTTTTTAGCAAGGACCGCCATTCCTCAAGCCCTTCGGGTGGTGTAGCAGTAGTGGTTCAGAGTGGAGTGGCATGTGCCAAAGTTCCGTTACAAACATCACTTGAGGCAGTTGCAGTTCGCATAATTTTGACCGCCTCATCACTCTACAGGGTGAAACAAGGAGACGCCAGGCTCTTGAAATCGACCGGAAAATTCGGTGTCTTAACCTATTGGGGAGAAGGACAGACCGTGACGCCCCAAGCGGTTAACTTAACAACTACACAGATGGGGACAACAAATACAATGACGCAGCGCTCGGCCGACATTACCGAACGCGACGTTAGCGTTCGGCTGGAGTTCGTGTTCTCCGGTGAGGAGGAGGAGGGGCTCTTTTGTTTCCACTACGGCCTGCATGAACAATGCAGTATGCACGGTCCCAGCTCAGCACAAAAGCCGAAGTGGGTCAAGCTCGCATTCTCTGAGGATAGATCCGGCACTTAACGTCGCTTCGTCGATTGTTAGTATTTTTTACATTAAACTGGTGCCCCGCTCTCTATTGTAGAAGATAACATGGACATGCCCATAAGGCCTGTCGGCATGTGCACAGGCCTTGTGTTGAGTAAACACCGAGCGTGGGGAAAACAAACGGGTCAGGGCGACCCGTATTGTTCAATCTCCTGCCCAATCGCGCTACGACTTTGTGCAGCGTTGCCCACAGATGGTGCATTTTTTTTTGTGTGAAATTTGCAAAGAGCGAACTTACCTGAGGAAAAAGCAAAGAAAGAAAAAGGCTTAGCTCCTATGGAAAGGTAGCGAAGCCACCGGTTTGCAAACAACACGGCGCCGTTTCGCATGGGAGATAAGAGATGGCGCAAGCGGTCGCGACGCCAACTGTCGCCAAGGAACGAGCAGACGCCGTCGAGAGAAGGCCCTTCTGCAGACAAGGAACTGCAGTTCCTTGCTGTTACCGCGCCTGTCTTTTTTGTTTCTGCGACTGTCGCCGCCTGCGGAACGCGCGCCGCTTTTGAGTCGAAAATATCGTCTGCTAAAAAGGCCTGCTTTCGGCGCCGTATGCTCGTTCGTTGGCGGCGTTTGTTGCGTCATCTCGTCTCCCGTGCGAAACGGCGCCGTGTTGTTTGAAGACCGGTGGCTTCGCTGTGTTTCCATAGGAGCTAAGCCTTTTTCTTTCTTCACTTTTTCCTCAGGTAAATTCGCTCTTCGCAAATTTTACAAAAAAAAAAAAATGCACCATTTGTGGGCAACGCTGCACAAATTCATAGCGCGATAGGTTAAGAAACCGAATTTTCCAGTCCATTTAAAGCGCCTGGCGTCTCCTTGTTTCACCCTGTAGTGTCACTGTACTTACCACCTAATGTTCTGCTGCATCTTCATGAACTTCAAGCACTCATCAACCAACTTCCCAAACCTTTTTTAATCGTTGGTGATTTTAACGCCCACCATCGTTTGTGGGGAATCTCTTGTCAAGACTCTCGAGGTTGAGTTGTTGAACGACTTTTATTATCAACTGGAATCTGCTTGCTGAATAAGAAAGAACCTACACTTTTTAGTGCTGCCCACAACACTTTTACATCAATCAACTTATCACTATCACCACTATCTCTACTTCCATGCTTTTCATGGAAGGTTTTAGACAATCCTTTGGCAGCGACCATCTACCCATAATTTTAGGGAGCGTTTTACCAGTTTCATCGATACCAACTCGGCTTCCGCGATGGAAGTTGGAAAAGGCCGACTGGTCTATTTTTGGTTTAGAAGCAGCACTTGATCCCGGCTTGTTTCTTCATACGACTCCTGAGGATGCGACGCTTTACGTCACAGAATGCATTATAAATGCTGCTTCCGCTTCAATTCCACAGACTTCAGGAGATCTTCCCCGCAGGTGCAAGCCCTAGTGGAATGAGGAATGTACTTCCACTCGAAGAAGCCAGAACAAGGCGTGGGGAACTTTTCGGCGATACCCAACTTTCCGTAACTTGATCGAGTTTAGGAAAAAAAGAGCACAAGCTCGGGTGGACACGAAAACAGGCCAAGTGGGCTTCATGGACAAAGTATGTTTCATCCTTAAATAGTTGTGTCATTGCTAAAGAAGTATGGGATCGTCTCAAAAAAGTTAGCGGGCTGAACCATGCTTTCAAAATTCCACTTCTTCCTTCAATCTCAGCATCTTTAACAGGGCAAGCAGACTTCCTCGCAGAACAATTTCAGGGTGTTAGTAGTTCTTCCAATTACAGTACGGAGTTTGTAAACTTCCGGTCTACCGCTGAAAAACAGAAAATCACTATGTCAGGCTTTAACTCTGTTGCACACAACAAACCATTCACACAGTGTGAACTCGAAGTTGCTCTCAGGTTAAAAAAGCAGTATGCACCTGGGCCAGAGAGTGTTCACTACAAGATGCTCAAACACCTGTCTAATGAATCCCTGTACCAACTGCTGTCCTTTCTCAATTACCTTTGGGAAGCTGCTGCTTTTCCGCATTCTTGGAGATGTGCCCACGTTATACCTTTGCTGAAGCCTGGAAAAGATCCCTCTCTGGCTACAAGCTACCGCCCCATAGCTCCTACAAGCTGTTTGGGGAAAACTTATGAAAGGCTTATAAATCGCGACCTTATATTTTTTTTAGAGAAACACTTTTTCGACACTAACCAGTGGGGCTTTCGGGCTGGACGGTCGACTATGGACCATCTGGTCCAACTTGAGACCGTCATACGTGAGCCCTTTGTTCACCGGCAGCATTGTGTGTCCGTGTTTTTTGATTTAGAGAAAGCATATGACACTACATGGAGGTATGGTATCCTTCGAGGTCTCTACAACTGTGGAGTGCGTGGCCGCATGCTCCGTTGCTTGCAGAACTCTTTAAGTGAACGTACATTTCAAGTTCGATTAGGCTCGACTTTATCCAGTGTCTTCTTACAAGAAAATGGTGTCCCCCAAGGAGAAGTTTTAAGTGCCACTTTATTTGCCGTTAAGATAAACAGTCTGGCTCAAGTTATACCGCCATCCGTTTCTTACTTACTTTACGTGGACGACGTGCAAATATTTTTTTCGTCTTGCAATCTTTCTAGTTCTGAACGGCAATTGCAGCTCACAATAAACAGGATGAGCAAATGGGCAAATGAAAATGGTTTTAAATTTTACCCAGAGAAAACTGTGTGTGTGCCCCCTCCCTGCGACGAGGTCTCTCTTTGGATCCAATCTTACAATTGAATAACAAAGAAATATCAGTGAAGCACGAACATATATTTTTAGGCATGATCTTTGATAAAAAGCTTACATTTAAGTCTCATTAAAAGAAATAAAGCAGAAGTGCTTGCAATCCTCTAACATCCTTAAGGTACTGTCACATGTATCTTGGGGGTCTGACAGGCGATGCCTCCTACGGTTGTACAATGCTTTAGTTCGGTCGCGCCTTGATTATGGAGCGATCGTTTACGGTTCAGCACGACCTTCCACACTAAGGATGTTGGATCCGGTTCATCACCTCGGACTCCGGCTTGCCATAGGGGCATTTCGCACATCACGCGTATTAAGCTTGTATGTGGACACACATCAAATGTCTCTTGAAAAACGCCGACAGTACTTGAGCCTGTTTTATTATTACAAGGTCCAGTCGGATCTCAAAAATCCTATTTATAGTATTTTACACACCCCTCAGTTCTGTAAATTGTTTGAAAACAAGCCAACAATTGTACACCCCCTAGGTTTTCGAGTTCAAAGTATTTGTAGCTCTCCGAACCTCCCTGTCCCTTTCACAAGTGGTGTTAACTTGCTAAAATCTATAGAGAGAATTGCCCCTTGGAACGAGCTACCCGTATGTTGTGATTGGTCTTTCACCAAATACAGTAAGAAGACCGTTGCTTCACAGTTTCTTCAGAAAGAGTTTCTATCTTTGCAAAAAAAGGATATCTAGAGTTTGCGCCGAGTACTATACTGACGGGTCGAAATAAGTCACGTTGGTTGTGCAGTTTATTCTAGTAACTTTGGAAGAGCTGTGCAGCTTGACTCAATGGCAAGCATCTTCACCGCAAAGTTCCGTGGTATTTTATTAGCCATTGAGCATATTCTGGACAACAGTGTTTTGAACGCAGTCATTTTTGCCGATTCGCAAAGTGTCTTATCTGCTATTTCTTCCAGAGTTTCTACAAAGAATGTACGTACACAACATGTTCGTTTTAAAGTAAACAGCTCTTCGTCTTGGATGCAATATCAAATTTTGCTGGGCACCAAGTCACGTGGGAATCGCAGGAAATGAGAATGCAGATCGCCGGGCTGCATCTGCCACACACTAAATAGTACCTTTTGACCTGCCCTACCAGGATTTTAAACCACTTCTAAAGAAATCTCTTTTAAAGACTTAACTAGAATGGGACACTGAAACCAATAACAAGCTTCATATGATTAAACCCATGATAGGCATCTGGGAAAGTTCAAGAGAGCGTTTATCGCATATTTTAAGGTGTTCTGTTTGTTGGCCTGGCCCCGCAGATAAGCAGCCCTTGCTCTTGCAGAACGTTTTGTATAAGTTTTAATGAAGACGTTCGCCATTATTTTTGTTATTATTATTATTGTTATTACTATTATTATTATTATTATTATTATTATTATTATTATTATTATTATTATAAAAGTTAGAAGTTTGAAAAGTCTTGAAGAAGCTTCTTTCGGCGCCAGAGAACACTCTCTACAATGGCACGGGCACTTGGCGCAGATCCTGGAAGAAAGTGGCGCCAGCGCGTCGGGCGGCACCATACTTCTCGTGTCCGATGGCGAAGAGAACTATGGACCTTACATCGTCGACGTGCTCCCGGAGCTGGTTCGCAAAGGAGTGACTGTTCACACCTTCGCTCTGGGTACCGAGGCCGACCAGAAGCTGCAGGACGTGGCGCTTCAGACGGGCGGTACCGCTTACGCCTTCGGGGATCTCCAGACCAACACCATTTCCGAGATGACCCTCTCGTTCGTCCTGTCCACGACGTGGAATCTGGACAAGGCACTCCAACCTGTCATCGTGAGTTATCGTTCTCCGTCGAGTCAATCGTAAAAGCCTGGCGTGACCACGCAAGGTCAGTAGAATGCCCATGTCGCTGTAGAAGAAACAAAAGTGGGAAAAAGCAAACAACAACAACGAACGACTGGGTTGCTATGCGGAGAGCCAGTCGTCTGCTTCTTGCTCAGGAGTTGCGGTGACGTCAGAACGACACCGAGTTCTGATTGGCTTTGGTTGGAGGGATAGGAGGTAGACATCGATGCTAGACGCCTTGAGGTCTACACTCTATTTAATTTCAATCAGCCAATAAGAGCTCGGCGTTTTGATGTCATAGCAACGCCTGCCCAAGAAGCAGACGAACTTGCTCTCCGCATAAACAAACACGCCGTTTACAAACAAACCCGCTTGTGCCCACACCAGATGTGGGCATTGCGCGTGCGCAGAAACCATATTCCCGCGAGAGGAAGCGTCTGCGCATGCGCAGTACCAACAGCAGCGCTGCCGCAGCGGCGTGATGTCAGAGTTGATTTGGTGTCGATAGTCGCCGACAGCTTAAGAAGAGAAGGGCGCGGCGAGTCACGTGCATCTAACTATGGCTCCTCAGCTAATCAGGTATCGGCATTATTCGATAAGAACGGCGAGGAACCAATCACAAAGCGAGAACGTAATTAGTCATGCCCTGCGCTTCTGAAGTCGTAGGTCTCTGCAGTAGCAAACAACTCAGAAGGAATTCCATGAACTAATCTCTTGCGCTGAAAGTTCACTCTCGCTCCTCTCCCCCATGGTTCAACGCTAATTCTTCCCTCTCCCCCAATCGAAACTAATTTAATAAAACGCTTTACTAAAGGAACGCGTTCTACACGGCTCGTTCGAATTAGGCAGCGTGCGTATACACAGAACCAAGTCCTGCCACAGCAAAGGGGACAGCCCGCTTCCGAGAGAACGCAGCTGCGCATTGCGCTGTCAACGAGCTTTCGCTCTGCGCCGAGGGAAGGGGCTGCCACCGACGCGCAGAGATACTGGAGTCACCGAGACAGCAGATACGACCCATGTCTCCGCCGTCTGCTGTTCGGGGCGATAAATAAGGGGCAGCCACCTGTCCCAATTTGAAGGGGAAAACCCCAAGGCTCAGCGCGTCCAGCCGTTCCCACTACGCAAAAGCTGTCGACTCAAAGTTCCACTGGAGTTTCACGGAGCGAAAACTCCCTTCCCCTTCACTCTCCGACGCATTGTAAAACAGAAGGGAGGAGGACATGTTAGAGAAGGGCTCCAAGTCATACGCCAGACAATGTAACCTATCATTGTCGCTACCACGTCTACTCTTTGTTCGGTGTTTTCTTCTTCTTTGTTTCGGGTATGTGTGTGTGTGTGCGTGTGTGTGTGTGTGTGTGTGTGTGTGTGTGTGTGTGTGTGTGTGTGTGTGTGCGTGTGCGTGTGCGTGTGCGTGTGCGTGTGCGTGTGTGTGTGTGTGTGTGTGTGTGTGTGTGTGTTTGCGCGCGCGCGCGCGGGGGGGCGGGAGATTTATTTTCGCAGTATGGCCAGGCTTCACTTTACGGGTTGATACATTTTTACAACGGCATCTTATGGTTGGTTTTTCTTGACGTCAGAGCCAGGACGTCCCTCAGTGCTTGTGATGGTGGATACAGGTCATTAGGTTATTATGACAACCTCGAAGGTTCGTGCAGAAAGCAAGGTGAAAGTCTGGAACCATTGAGTTGTGAAACCAGCATTGTAGAAATCAACGTTTTAACTTTATGCTACCAATTAAAGTATAACCAGGTAAAACTAAGACTTCTACACACGTCGTAGTGTGATTTCTGTCAATCTTAGAATGTTAACCACAGCGTCACGCTTGATTGCTTATGTCGGACTGCGATTCAAGTAAACTCCACGTAAAGTCAATTTATGTCTCCGCTGATTAACAACACGCCGTTTGTATGAGGCTGCCTATTAGTTTACTGCAGACGGTTTAAAATCATCTGTTTATTTTACCCCCGAGATGTGAGGGAAATACGCGTACTACCATGAAGAAGCCTCACCTATAAACGTTCTAGATTACGCGATGAAGCTTTCGTAGATTCCACGTCATTTGCTTAGGGACTGTGACTTTCTGGCTTCTTGGCTTTCAGATGATGGACACAACCACGTCTTTCAGCGGCACGAAAGAATTTCCGTTCACCATACAAGAGGAACTGGGGAATAACACCAGCGTCTTCATCTCCTACTTGGAACCGCAAAATATTTCCGCCGAGCTATTTGACGGTAGCGGTAAACCTTGCGTTACCGAGTGCCCTGTGAACGCGACCGATCTGAGCATCAGCGTGAACCTCCCGACAACCACTGCCGTAGGTTTAATCACTGTTTATTCAAGTCGTATTGGTCTTCCGCCTTGTGTTTAAAATATCAGTGCCGCTTGAAAAGCCGCTGAGGATAGTCAGGTTCTGATGGTAATAATGGTGACTCAACCGCAATGATTTGAAGGTTATAAGCAAGATGTTTTAAAGAAGCGGAAAGCATAAACTATAGATGAATGTGTAGGAACTAATTATGACCCAAATAAAATATATATTCAAGAAAGTAAAGGTATGTTTTCAGCCGATATCGACAAACAACGAATTCAAAAAGTGCTCTATGGGTAAGGGGAACTAATGCTTTGCAAAAAACACACACTCAAGAAAAAATATTTTTCTGTGCAATGAGCTTACCCTTGCTTGTCAAATCAACTTGAATTTTGGATGGTTTATTTCCTGAAGAAAAAAATAACCAACTTGTTTCCTTTAAGAACAGTCAGAGACGTAAAGTTCAGTAAAGTTGAAAAAAAAAAAGTTGGTAGAAAAAATATTTCCGTTAAATTATGTTTAGGCTGTAGCGTGCGGACTACATAAATATTTAATATATACATATATACATCTAAAAAGCGTTAAGCGGCCGAGTGGCGAAGCTGTGACGAACGTCGTTTCCAAAGCTGTCTCGTGCTGCTTGTCACCTTCCGCCTCTTCTCGCGCCGGCTGATCACTACAATATTCCCCCCCTAGCTTGGAGGCGCAGTGGCCAAGCGTTTTCTTTTTAGCGCTAAGAGCAACCGTGTCACGCATAGTTTTTCTGAGGACCCCTGGTCAAATCGGATGAGAAGGAGGTGGGAAAGGCGGTGTTGCGGTTGAGTCCAGGTGGGCGGGCTTGACTCGGTCGATAGCTACCACTTGTGCTTTGTTCTTAACAAGGATCGCGAACGTCTTTGTATCTCTGTGTATAACGGGGAACGGACCTTCATACGGAGGTTGGAGTGGTGTTTTGACGCCTTCGTTTCGAAGAAAAACGTGTTTACACTTCGCGAGGTCTGTGCTGATAAAGGTGCTCCGTGTGGGAGGAACTCGTGAAGGCACAGGCCGCAAGTCCTGCATCAGGAGCCGCAACCGATGAACATAATCTTCCGCGCTGGCAATTGCGGGATTGCTGGCTTTGTGAAAGAACTCTCCCGGGATGCGAAGGGACGTCCCGTACACCAACTCCGCTGCGGTGCAGTTCAGATCGCTCTTGAACGCTGTCCGGATGCCGAGCATGACCAAGGGAAGGGTCTCTGTCCACGAAAGTGTTTTATCTTGGGCTTTGATGGCCGCTTTCAATTGCCGGTGGAAACGTTCGACCATTCCGTTGGACATCGGATGGTAGGCGGTAGTGTGTATGGGGTGTGTGCCCAAGAGCTGAGACAGATTGTGAAAAAGTAGCGATTTGAATTGTCGTCCGCGATCTGTTGTAATGGTCTCGGGTACGCCGAACCGGCTTATCCACATTTCGACGAGCGTGCGGGTGACAGTCTGTGCTGTTATGTTTTTCATGGGGGCCACTTCTGGCCATCGAGTAAACCTGTCAACGCAGGTCAACAGGTAACGGCAGTCGTGCGATGGGGGAAGCGGGCCGACAATATCGACATGAATGTGGATGAATCGCGCGTCAGGAGGGTTGAAGGCGGTTAGCGGTGTCACAGTATGGCGTTGAACCTTGCTTCGTTGACACTGGATGCATGTTCTTGTCCACTCTCGCACTTCTGTATTCATGCGTGGCCAAACGAACCGAGATCCCACGAGTCGTTGTGTAGCACGAATTCCCGGATGAGACAGTGAGTGGACAGCCTCAAAAACCTTGCGACGGAATGCTAGTGGTATAAACGGGCGGGGACGGCCAGTGGACATTTCGCAGGCCACAGTGACAGAAGAACCATGCATCTGGATGTCCTCGAATGTGAGTGTTTTAGATGATGTTCGTAGGTGTTGGAGTTCTGTGTCTTCTCGTTGGGCTGCCGTAAGTTCCGTGTAGGATATCTCGGGACAGTCGGAGATGCAGAGGTTGACACCTAGCCTGGAAAGTGCATCGGCTGCGGTGTTGTCAGAACCTTTCACGAATCGAATATCAGTAGTAAATTCTGATATATATAGAAGGTGTCGCACTTCCCGAGGCGTATGTGCCGCGCTGTTTGATGTTAGTGCGTACGTGAGAGGTTTATGATCAGTGAGAACATAAAATTGGCGGCCCTCGATGAAGTGTCGAAAATGTCGTATGGCGAGGTAAATAGAAAGGAGTTCTCGACCAAACGTGCTGTAGCGAGCTTCAGTGGCGCTTAAACCCTTCGAAAAAAATGCGAGAGGATGCCAGGTATTCCCAACGAGTTGTTGGAGGACAGCCCCAACGGCGGTGTCTGAGGCGTCGACGATAAGAGAAATGGGCGCGTCACTTCTGGGGTGCATCAACATGGTTGCATTTGCGATGGCCTCTCTCACTGCTCTAAAGGCGTCCTCCGCTTTCTGCGTCCATTGCAGCGGTGTTGCCTTCATCTTCGGGTTTTGGATGAGGTCGTATAGCGGTTGGGACATATGGGCGCAGTGAGGGATAAACCGACGATAAAAGTTGACGAGTCCAAGGAACTCTTGAAGTTTTGTTGCTGTTGGTGGTTGGGGGAAACTGCGAATTACTGCCACTTTGTCAGGAAGCGGTTGGATTCCCCGAGAATCTACGTGATGTCCAAGAAAATCGAGCTCCTTGACACCGAGCTCACACTTCGTCGCATTTACAACCAGGCCATATGTTGTCAGTCGTGTGAACAGTTGCCGGAGGTGGCTGGCATGCTCTTCAGGCGTGGTGCTGAAAATCAGGATGTCGTCAAGATATGCAAAGCAGAAGGACATCCCACGCAGCACTTGGTCTATGAACCGCTGGAAGGTTTGAGCTGCGTTGCGAAGGCCGAAAGGCATTCGCACGAACTCGTACAATCCGAACGGAGTTGTGACTGCAGTCTTTGGGATGTCTTCGGGTTCGATGGGAATCTGGTGGTATGCTTTGACGAGGTCTATTTTACTGAAGATCGTAGCACCCTGAAGTAATCCGCCAAAGTCTTGAAGATGGGGTATAGGGTAACGGTCGGGAACCGTAGCTTGGTTGAGGGCCCGATAATCCCCACATGGTCGCCAGTCGCCCCCCTTCTTCGGCACCATGTGTAGAGCTGAAGACCAGGGACTCGAAGATGGACGCACATACCCGAGTTCAAAACTTCAAGCATATGCTCAAACTCGTGTTTGGCAATCTGAAGTCGTTCTGGCGGTAGGCGACGTGGGCGTGCAAAGACAGGAGGGCCTGTGGTCTTAATGTGGTGGGTAATATTGTGTTGAACCGACCGTTGAACCGTGTTTGGCCCGAACACAGAGGGAAACTCGTCCGCGATGCTTTTCCACTTTGAGTCGGTCTCCGCACGTGGAAGAAAAGGACTCAGAGGTGGTGTCTTGGATACCAACACTTGGACGCGAAGTTGCGTCTCGGTATCGATGAGTTGGTTGTGCCGTAAATCGACGGTGAGACCGAATCGTCTTAAGAAGTCCGCCCCGATGATGGCCTGCCTCACGTCAGCGATCATGAAGATCCAACGAAATGTCCGTTGGAGACCAATGTTCAAAGTCAGTGACTTTTCTCCGTAGGCTTTTATTGTGGATCCATTCACCGCTTGAAGCGGGGGAGTTTCTTGTCGATATCGGCGATCATCTGATGTAGGAGGGACTACACTGACTTCGGCGCTGCAGTGTCTACTAAATAGCGAACTTTGGTTGAACGATCGGTCACGTAAAACAGGCGGCTTGATGATGTAGGGCTCTCGATGTTTGCCGCCTTCAGCGAGTGCCCATCCCGTTTTCCGAAAAGGAGCATGGCTGTCGGCACTGGCGAGCAGTGTTCCTATAACGGAGGTGATACCAGCACTGCTGTTGCTGAGTAGAGGCGCTCGACGAGGTGGTGGTTCGGTTGTCGACATTTACTCGACGGTTGGCAGTAGTGACTTCGGTACTGCGCGATGATCTTGAGGGTCGTTGTTGAATGTTTCGAAACTGTCTGCTGAGGTCGTCGATCTTCTGTTCCATGCACACATAGGCTGCCAGAAGATCCGGGGCTTGTGGCGGGGCGTTGTGATCAGCCACAGATAGGGGTGACGTCGGGTTGATCGTCTGTGAATGGACGGATGATATTCCAGGTGAGTAGACGTCCATCATCTGGTCTGCCATGCGAGCCAGTGTCGTGACGGACTCCGTGGTGGTAGTGGTCAGGACGAGCCTAATTTGCTGTGAGAGACGTTGGAGAAAAAGTTCTCGCAAGATTGACGTGTCCATAGTCCCTGCCTTATCACCGAGAAGTTGCTCCATTCGTCGGAGAAGTTCTGTGGGTTTTCTGTCTCCCAACTCTTCGGCTGTAAGCAGCTGCCGTATCCGTCGAGGCTCAGAATCCGTCGTACGCCGCACGAGTTCCGTACGTAACGTCTCGTAGGGGTGTTCTTCAGGCGGAGAGCGCAAGATGTCGCGGACGATGGCTGCGGTTGACTGGGAAAGAGCGGCAACCACGTAGTCAAACTTGGTAAGAGAGGATGTGATGCGATGTTGGCGAAATATCGACTCGGCAGTTAGGAACCATAGTTCTGAATCCGAAGACTAAAATTCTGGAAACTTGATAGGGGCTGCCGTCGCCTGTACCGCGATGGGCGTTTCAGAAGAATTCACGTCGTTGCGAACGTCCATCGTGAAAAAAATGAATGTGTTGAGTAGCTCACCAAGAACACAGCTGATTCTAGGCAGCTTGCAGGAGGTTGATGTCGTTTAGATCGGGTCACCAATATGTAGCTTGCGGGCTACATAAATATTTAATATATACATATATACATCTAAAAAGCGTTAAGCGGCCGAGTGGCGAAGCTGGGACGAACGTTGTTTCCAAAGCTGTCTCGTGCTGCTTGTCCTCTTCCTCCCCTTCTCGCGCCGGCTGATCACTACAAGGCTTTACAGGTAGACAGCTGACTATGTGTAACTGTTACTCAATCTAGTGGAAGTTTCACAAATGCTAAGGTAAAACTACAAAAAAAATACTGATGTAAAAAAAAATTCTGTTTTAGGTGATGATAACCGAAAGTAATGGTTTCTGAATCAGCTAAAAGTTCGAAGGCTGATTGACGCTCTCAATATACTAGGCGATTTGCATCAAAATGAAGGTTATTTTTGTTTTAAATTAATTGTTTAATG